GACGGTATTAAATGTATGCAACCGCCGAAATTCATTCTCTCACCTTGTTTTATTAAATGAAGAGCGCTCTGGTAGACTGACTACAGTGTTTCCGCGAAAGTGGGTATAACAGTGTATACCTCGATTGTGAAGTCAGGTCAGTTCCAAGATGTGCACACACGAAGAGTGAATGTTCAGCAACAACGCACACGCTACTGATATTAATAACTACTGGGGTAGACAATTACGAAAGTACCGTATAATAAAAGCCGAAAGGACAAAATTAAATGAAATAATTTACCCAACATTCGCTGATCAACTAAATTTTCTGCTGTAAAAGGACTTGCCCATGGACGGGCACATATAACTCTTTCCCACTCTCTGTTAGATGAGCCCGATGAACATTCGGACAAGATCCTATGGAGGGGGTGGCTATCATCATTGAAAATTCTGGTTGCCTATTCGTTACAGGTGTTGATATGGTTGGATACAGTTGTTATCAAGCTCCGGTCTTGGAATGTTACTACATTGAGATAGATATTTCGCTGAATTAGTACTCACCTGAGGTCCTTATTCAAAAGTCCAAGGAAGATAACTTAGGTGCGGCAGGTCTGAAAGGGTGAGATGCATTGATAGATGGTAGGGCTAGATAAAAGAGTACGTAGGATGCCCTAAGACGAGTAATATAGAACGAAGTATTTTTGGATTAAGAAAATATTTCGTTTAAATGAGGGGATCAGTTAAGACTACAGCTCAGTGTCAGGTATTTCGCTAACGTGGAAGACTTCATACCTTCACTATTAGAAGACAATTGGCGCGAAAAAGTGTCTTTTCGACCATGTACCATCATGCTGCCAGTAATCAAATGAACAGTACGCTATTTTTAGCCGGTATACGCAAGGTTGCAGATGGTCGAATAAGGGTAGTGTACAGGGGTTCAAATCAAATAAACAACTGCGGATCAATTGCCTTGAGGTCACCTGCCAAGGCTAAGCCCATGGTAAGATAATGGCTTGCACCGGTTTTCTTCTTACACAGTTCTGGCCGCCGTCGTCTGGCTGCAATGGCTGGAGCCGTAGTCAACCAATGCCTATTGAACCCTTTTGGAGTCCGCATTGGTACAACGTAGAAAACTGTTAAAGAGTCCTTAACTCTTCTTTGTTGTCCGATGTTAAGTAGGTGTTCTAAGATGAACTCTGGACATCCTTTTCTGTATCATGCTGCAATGATGCGAGGCAGTGCTCAGCCATCCTCTTCGATAGACGTCTAGCTGTATGTGCGATATAATCAGCAGCACAGGTGCAGGTGAACGGATGTACAACTAAGGAGCTGGACTCAACCGGAAGCCTATCTTTGTGGCGCTGCGTAATTCGTGGGGCTGTTTCAGCAAGAATGTGGACTCGCGCTGCCCGATAGGTTTGATTCACTACGGTCGACACTATTCTGCAAAATAACTCAAAGGGATGTCTCCCTTGGAAGGAACTGAAAGATATGCGTCGTGCATTCTGATAGTCACCATGTACTTATGTTGATCGGGAACAATATAATTCTCCTTGATGAAAGAAGCCGGACAGCCGTTAGTTTCTGACGTCCACTGAATGAAATTCTTTTGCTCAACCAAAGTCTCGTCTGCAGATTTTTGTAGCTTGATAGTACAGAGTACTCAGTAGCTTCCTTTTGTATTTCATTGGAACGAAATTATGAAAGTGCGTGAACTGGCCAACACAGGTTGTCTTCCAGATCATCCTTCTTTCAAGTAGGCCATCATCTCGCCGCCGCAGCAAAACGTCTAGGAAAGCCACTTTACCACTGTCCTCGACCTCGCAGGTGAATTTTATTGACGGATGTATGTTGTTGCACCGGTCAAATAGATGAATTTGATCGGGGTTGGAGTCACAAAGGAGGAAGCTATCATCCATGTACCTATGGTGTGAAACAAGAAAAGCGACAAGATTTGGAATCAGACCCCTTTAAGTTTGACAAGGAAAAGATCGGCAAGTAGTGGTCCCAAAGAGGAACACATAGCAAATGCATGTATATGTCAGTAGTATTGTCCAGCAACTAAGAACTGCCTGTTGAAAGTACAACGTTGGCTCGCTTCTTTTACCTTCCGCACTAGAAAGTTGACACCGGTATGGTCTTCGTTTAGGCGGTCACAGATTTAAAACACTGTTTCTATCAATGGAACATTCGTGAATAAGAACTCCACGTCAAAAGAAAGCATTACATTACCCTTCACATTCAAGTTGTCCAACCGCTTAAGGAACTCAAACGTCCCGCTCACTGCATGAGTTGCCAATTTCTTACGCAGGGGCTGCAGTATTTCCACAAGCCACTTGGCAACCGAGGATTGCAAAGTGGTGGGCACTACCTGGAGGGATACTGGTAACCCATTCCTTGAAACAGTGAAAACCGAACACCTTTGCATTTTGAATTGTTCAAGGGTAGGCAGTGGACTTGGTACGAAGACCAGCAATGTTTGTAATTTGGCCGATGACTCCATGGTTGAATGACAGACATACAAGATAACGTCATTCGCATACTTCAGGAAATGCGTATGAGAGCACTGTTTGTCACGCTTCGCTTCTCTGTGTACCACTCCATGTAAGTGGGTTAGTATAATTTGAGAGATTTTTCAACCACAGATACTTTGGGGACAGAAACCATGTAATTAGAGACTATACTCCATAGAATGTACACGGCGAAAGAGGAGAAGCTCCAGCGACATTTTAGTCGGCTGTATAGATTGTTTAGGACGAACAAACAAAACTGATCCCCTACTGCTTTCGTATAATCAGTAATCGCTTTAGCAGCTTACATGACACATCGATATGTGGCCGCCTGCAAAGTTAATCACAGTTCATGTGTCCAACACTGTCATATTCACGTTCATAACATGCATGACAGGGGAGGATGAGTCTCGCTATGTCTGTTCAAAATCAGTCATAGCAGTCTGCCGCCGTCAAGCTTGACTTCATCGGCATAAATCGCTGACCCATGGGAGTAAGGTCATTGGTTGAGATTCTACGAATGCAAGTTACTGATGAGTGCCAACAGGACGAAACGGCCTTCTAGCGGTTACCTGGATTTGTGCTGGCTGTCTGGCTGAGCATGGCAAACGTAGTAACTCTAGTACTCTCTAATTTGTGTAAAACCAATTCAAAACAGCCATTTCGCGTCTCCTAGTAGTACATCTTGGTGGTTCCTCTAACAAGCAACTTGTTTCAGCGACACAGTGTTGCAACTTGTAATTTTCAACCTGAAACTCCTAGGGGACTTGTTAAACATTTGAATTTTTACCCTTTCTAAGCCATTGCTCCATAGGTCCACACTGTAAATGGTTAAATTCATGTATTATAGCGCAAACCAGCCACAAGCTTTCTGTATAAGTGGGGCGTTTGCGATAATTCGCAGTCCCAGTGACAGCAAAATCCGGCATCGAAAGCCACCAACACGACATCCGAATTACCAAGAAACAAAAATCTGCCTCTGTGATCGTTTTACTCACGTTCGCTCTCAAGCGTCCTGTTAATTTCGAGCATGCACACCCTTTTACCGTAGAATGGTAGTCAACACTTTATCTGAATTGCGAGTGACTGGGTGCGTGTCGGTGAATTGCTATCTGTCCAACATTGGAGCCCGCATGGTTTTCCTTACAAGCGTAGGCTGATGAATTCTACTGAGTGAATATGAAGAAAAGTAAAGCAGTTCCCTATCTGCACAGGTGGACGTCTAACGCTTGTACGTTGGCGTGTGTTTGTTTGCACACAGAGGCCCAAAGGGAATATGAAAATAAATGGCGTAAAATGTCTACATATGTTAGTGAATAATATTCTACATTTTTTGCACCACGTTTCTTCGCTAGGAAGTAAAATCGTAAGTTCAATCAGCGCGAGTGCCCGTTTTCAAGCTTCCGCTCGCGCCAGTTAAATAAATAAATGAATAATTTATTCTCGTCATTGAAAGTCACACCATCAAGGGCATGATCATGGTAATACAGACACGTGTGATCGGCAATTGCACAAATTATTACATTTTGACCAATAGCATAGGAACTTATGTGTGTGTGTTGACATGTAGAAGTATGTTTAAGTGTGTATTTGGAAGTGGCCATGTTGTGCATGTAAATGTGATTGTGTGTGTTTTGTTCGCTGAGTCTGCCATTAAAGAGGGGAATCCACGGAACGCTTCGAATCGAATGACGTTCGTGATGTGTGAATGGTCCTCCTTAAAAGGGGAGGCAATGACTTCATTTAGTGGCGAGTCACATCCGCCACGGCACAATGTTTTTAAGCGGATATCTTCGGCTTTTTGTAGGGAGAATGCTTGCTAGGCGAAATCCCACCACATCCTGGAACTCTGCCGCCAAACCATTTGGTGGAACGGGATTAACCTGAACCACCCAGCTGGCACCATGGGGAGGTGGTTCGACTAGCCAGACATAGTTGGATCGAAATTCGGTCACTAAAATAAATTTCCGTTTGGCTTTGCTATTATACTCTAGAGTAAGTACAATTTTGTGACCGAGTTCTGATTATTGTTGGTGCACTCCGCAACCAAATAATATGAATTTACGGTATATGTTAAGTGAAGTATGGTAAGAAATAATATAAATCGACCTAGTTCGGACTAGTCGGAATTGAAATAGGCTTGGCTTAGACCCAGAGCTAACGTCAACGCGGGAGTAAAACGCACAGGGGGCGCACGTGGAAATCGTATTAACCAATGCGAACTTGTGCGAACTAATAAGGCACATTAAAACAAGTAAAATAAAATATCCTTCAAGAACAATCACCACAGTAAGGTTATGATGAAAAACGTTTTTTGGAAGCGACGGAAATTCTTCCCATTTGTGTCCAGCTGGAACGGACAAAGTCACAAAAGTGGTCACTTAGGACGCGCAAACTGTTAATTCGGTGGACATATTTCGTTTACCTGTGTTTTGGGAGTTAGCCTCCAAACCGTCTAATACTCCCTGGATGCTTGTACACATCAGTTAACCTGGTTCCTCTTGCATATAGTAACATTAACGTGGTCCAGTACAATTCCAAAGGAAAATGGGGACGTTGGAATGGGATTTACAGCGCAAGCGATCGAGGTGACGGTCGCTGAGCAAGAGAAGAGTTTGGTGTCGGAAAAACACACAACACATTTGGCAAATGCCGAACAAATGAGTCTGATATCCAATACAACCGTCACACCAGCAGAAGCGATGGTACCAACCGTGGCCTTTGTGAGCTCGCTCATCTTGGAACACGCTGGAAGAGATGACGGCCTAAAGTCTTTTCCTAAAATGAAGGATGAATCGGCAACCCTAAGTTTATCCTCGCTGAAGGGCTCCACTACCCCTGGTGAGTTGCAGTGCAGCAGTACGTATGCGGCTGATCTTTTTGAAGCTGTTTTCGGGATGGGATGGCATAAAACACTAGAAAACTAATTTTAACTAACGTAAATAAACTTCATCAGCTTTTATCAGTCGGAGGCAAACAACTGTTTTCTATGATTCCTCTACGGACAGGTACAAATTCCGAATGGATCGCTGAGAATGTTCCGTTTTACCAATTTCTGTCTACCAACCAATAAGGCAGACAGAATGCAATATTGGTTCTATATGTTTTATGCTCTGCACTAATGACCTATACAACGAAATACAAAACTAGTGGGCATGCAAAACGCGTAAGGCCTGTGTGGATTCCAAATTCACGAAACGGAACGGTTCTACTGATAAGTAGTGAGTAGTTCGCTTCTAAAAGGAATTTCATCGAAAGAAGTTGTTCGGAGAGATGGTTTCGGCAGTAAATTTCCAGATTTCATATTTATTTACTTTCTCTCGCTAACTATTTCCGTTCAACACTAGTTTTCGCATCGTTATCACCTTTGCCTTAGTGTGCCACATTTGTGACCTGCTCGTAACATTTAAATCTTCGGCGACTCGTGGATGGTTTTCTGTCCAGTTTAGTGAGTCGCTTCACCTATTCGCAAGTCTACTGTGATGTACATAAGCTACGGTCCTAAAATCACAGTTAATAGTATAACGTATTCTCTGCCACTTTTACTCCTGACGTCCAGACGGTGCATTAATATCTTTGATCTACCCACTTTCCCTGACTACGCCCATAAGAAAGAGGTTACAAATACATTTCTTTGTTACCCATGAGTAGTGATTTGGTGAATCGGATTACAAGCCGTATAGGCTAACTGCCAATCCGGTGAAGATACGGCTAACACGCGAGTCCAACCCGCTATACGGTTGCTTGGCCTTTCATTAGACCCGACCCTAACTCTTTTTACCCTATGGGTCATGTAAAGCTCGAGCTTTTATTCCCATTAAATACAATGTTCCAACGTTCCAATGTTAATCAATAGCCCAGATAACGGCTTCGGAAGGCAGGTCGAATTGCAGGGAAGCTTTTATTTCCATAGTAAATGGTTCCCTATAGGCCTATCTATAAAATACGACACCGTTGACCCTGCTAGCCACGGGGAACTAAGTTGTGCGCACACAAAAGCGGTCGCGTGTTGCAACCATCACGAGCGCCAAGCAAACGCGTTGCTCGACTAAAGCACTTGAACTCAGCAGGCAGTTAAACAACCCGCACCCATCACTATAGTGCACAATGAAATATTAATGTTGGTTAGAAATGTACACAGGTAAACTAGGGGTATTTCCGGACTGTTAAACACCAGAGGATCACCTCACCCTACTGAGGCTGGTCAGTTGAGCACAACCCCTCAGTAAATGTCCGCTAGTGATTTGCAGCACAAGCCAGCCATGGGGGCAATTGCTGACCATTGCAGTTAGATTTCAATCCATGCTGACCAGCTATCATCACCTTATGGCTCAGTGGTGAGCCTGCTTTCTGCATTCAATCACGCGGTTAAATCTGTTCGACTGCTTCCGGCTGTACTATCGCGAAGTGTAGGTTCAACTAGGTCACTAGCGTTTTAAGAAATGGCTGGTTACTTACCGCAAAGTTACAGCAAAGTTAGTTTATATATAAATAATGTTTTATGTCCGTCTATGCGAGATCCACAAGCAGTGGCATGATCATGAATGTATGGTAGTGAACATTTCATGTATAATAGACTGATCGGATCTAAATGAATAGATGTTTAAGGACAACAGGATTTGTGGTGATGAATGATATAGTTGCAGAGGAAACATTTCCAAAATTAATAGTAGTAGTAGTAGTAGTAGTAGTAGTAGTAGTAGTAGTAGTAGTAGTAGTAGTAGTAGTAGTAGTAGTAGTAGTAGTAGTAGTAGTAGTAGTAGTAGTAGTAGTAGTAGTAGGGGTCCATTCTGACCCCAAAGTGAGGCAGCAGGTGCAATTAAACAAAGCAGTAAATGGACAAAACAGTGGAAATATATTTGGATAAGGTAGCTTCTGGTTCCCCGTACATTAACAGAATTCCCTGCTGTGCACCAAGAAATTGGTAGAAATGATTTCTTTCAGCATGTGGAGATCGGCCTCACACTCTAAAATGACTTTGAAATAACGGTAGATCAGGTTGACTGTTAACTTGCTAAGATTATTCTCTTGCTCGGTAATCTGACTGTTTATTCGATACTACTGACAACCTGGTAGGGATAAGGCTGGGCCCGGCGAACACTAACAACCGGGCGGCACATTTATCAAGTTTTCAACTTATACCTAAGAAATAAGACACACTAATGCAGAGAAGTCACCTAGGCCACAGATTTTTTTCTTCCGTCATTGTAACTAATGTCCAAGTTTGTTTGAACGTAATGCATTTTCAATGACGTCGTTTGTACCCACTATCTACCGCATTTCTGTAGAAACAACTCATTGGGCAGGTGAAACTTCGACGGAAAAATCAAACATAACAGCTGGTAGCGAAATCCCTCCACAAATTAGTAGAGATCAACCTGTTTCAATGGTGGAGAAACCTGATTTTACTGAAACGATTCAGATGAAGGCACAAGAAGGTGGACAGTCAATCGATAGAGATCTTGATGATGATACACGTGCTCTTCTGCAAAGCATAGCGTTTCCGAATACGTCAGGTGGGAGCGTTCAGGAGGGCGGAAATGAAGATGAAATAGATGAGATTGTTGAGGATAACGCTGAGCGATTGGCGGACGGTCCACGTGTACTTCCGGATGGGATAGCGAGTGCAGCAAAGCGGCAAATTTCAAAACCAAAAGACGCGATTACTGAACAGGTGTCTGATTCTGGGGGTGGTAAGTGCTTTTTATTTTCTATTCATAAATAATTCCCATTTGATTCAGAAGTAAGACAATGCGCGAAGGATATTTTTTCGATAATTTTCATCAGGCGTGTACTACTATGAAGCACAATTTTTGGAGAGAATAAAGCCCATAGAGGCCTGTACAGAGAGTGACCAACTCATTAACTGGGCAATATGAAAACTAAATCCATGATTTGACCAATCGGATTGTCGCATTAGGAAGCAGGTGATCAAGGCAGGCCGATTCATACGGTCAAAACCACGTTTGATTTTGTCAACCGAATAGAAAATCTAAACGTGAAGGATAAATTAATGCTTTCGTTTGACGTAGAAGCACTTTTCACGAATGTGCCGTTGGTAGAGACTGTGACATTCATTTGTGATTTCATCACTGAGCGAAACATTGAGGTTGGAATTCCGTTGAATAAATTAAAAGAATTGATTCTGCGCTTCACTTTCAGCGTACAATTTCTGTTTAGTGGAATTTATTATAGACAGATGGAGTCGCAATGGGTTCTCCCTTAAGCCCCCTTTTGGCTGACATCTTCCTTTCAAAGCTTGAACGTGGAGACCTGAACACCCATATATCTTCATTTGATTTATACTACCGTTACATGGACGACGCTTTCATTGTCTGTGACTCTTCCATCGATTACCTAACCCTATTAGATCAGTTTAACAGGGTGCATCCATCATTAAAATTCACCAGTGAAGTTGAGCAAGATGGCTGCTTGGCGTTCTTACGGGATGATCAAATGGAGTGCTTTTCGCAAAGCGACGTGGGTATGTCAATACACCCACTTTCTTGGCTTTGTACCGCTGAGATACAAGAGGAATTTAGTGCGTTGCTTATACCATCTTGCCCGAGCAATCTACAGTCCAGAGACGTTGGAAAGCGAAACCGAGCTCATCTTGAACACGCTGCAAGAAAATGGATACACGTACCTTTCATCAAAAAGCACTCCAAACAAGTTGAGGCTGTCAAATGTGTCGCTACAGTGCCAAAAAAGGATGTATTCCTTACAGTTCCCTTTAAAGATGACGTCGCCTTCGAACTGTTGAATAGAAAAATCTCGACCGCAGTGACCAAGACATTTCCAGCCGTCAATCTAAAACTACTTGCCCAAGCAAGACCATTGATTCTTCAGCGCTTAAAGGATAAACTCCCGGTTTGGTCCGAATCGTTGGTCTTATACCAGTGCACCTGCACCTGTGGTGCTAGGTATCTTGGACATACGACCAGGTGTTTGTCCAAAAGAATCGCTGAACATTGTCCTGCCTCACTACGAAAAGGCACGGGGAAATCCATCAACCGTACCGTAGTTCAACACTTGGTCGACACTGGACACCAAGTCCAGATGAACCAGTCGTTTCGAGTGGTTTATACTATCCCTAAATGCTACCCAAAACAGCTTATGAAGCATTTGTTGAGCATTTCTGAAGCCACTGCTATCAACGTTCTAAAACCAGAGCTGTGCAAACAGCGCACACTGCTACAGGCTCTGAAACTGCCTTGGCCTTGAACTTGACCTGCCTTGATCACCTGCTTCCTAATGCGACAATCTGATTGATCAAATCATTGATTTAGTTTTCATATTGCCCAGTTAATGAGTTGGTCGCTCTCTGTACAGGCCTCTACGGGCTTTATTCTCTCCAAAAATTGTGCTTCATAATTGTACATGCCTGATGAGAATTATCGAAAAGAATATTCTTCGCGCATTTTATTTTATTCAGTACCACCAAGTGTCCACGGGACATCTCTGCATTCGTCCCGCAACTCGGGGCCTTGAAGGGTAGAAGAGAGGAGTAACGCATCTATGGCAACACATGGGGGCATCTCGTGCATTGTGAGCTTAACTTTGGCAGGACGCCAGTTAAGATTTAAGTTTACGAAACAGTAACTAAGTGTAACAGTTGCCAAAGTAGCCTTCGGGAACAGAGTCGAAATCAAATCATGTCTGGACTATGCTTTATGCATCCTGGAAGGGTGAACTGTCTGTCGTAACACATAACACCGAAATGATAGAAGAACGAGTATATTTTACACAGTAGCAAAACAACAATACTAAAATAAACCCTTGACATGTACAGACACCCTTATTAGCAGAAGTTGCTATTTAATTATTGATCAGTACCGTCCGGGTTATGCCGATATGTAACTGGATTTGGAATGATCAACTGCCGGCCCGTTTGCCGCACTTTATGTTGGACAAAACACCGAGCGCTTGACAAGTCTCATAGAATGAACAGAGTGCGAAGTATGAAACCAAACGTCGAATATGACAGAAAAGGGGGAAAGTCGGATTTTAAACGACTCATCGAGCTATTCACATAAGCATTAGTGCAGGTTTCCTCACCGCTATGCTGTGGAAAGAGTTGGTGAGCACATAGTTTGGTTTGCGTTATGTCGTCCTTCAAGTAAAACCAACTGTGTTGCGTAATGCAAGTGGGATAGTGTGGCTTTAAATAGGAATTGAAAAAACGTTAATATTGCTGCGACATAGACGTGAGTTAGAAGAGCGATCCATTTTCTGGATAGCCTAGGTAGGAAAACGTTTTGTTGACTAGCAAGTCGGCTGCAGTGTGTGGCAAGTTTGAGCTGATGGCCTCTCGGGTTAGCATTGTAGGTGAGTTACAGCTGGTCTCGACAGACGTGATTTGGGTTTACCAGTATTAAGTACATCATGATGAGGTATCTTCGCAGGTGCCGGTATTCGCGGCTGTATAAGCCTAGGGCTTTCAGCTTGCGTGGGTATGCGAGGTGAAACAGTCCTCCAAAAATTTTCATTGCTATAGGTTGTGGAGCTTCAAGCGCACCAATATAGTGTTTGCACCACGAACGACAGGATTGAATCATGTACTCTATGCGGAGTCTCATGCAGGCTTTCAGTATTTGCAGAAAGTTAGATGACTCGAGCTTTCCGAAAGCCGTTCGTAAGGGTCGAAGATGCTGACTTGCTCTTCTCGAAGCATTTTCAGCTGGTTTCGATGAGGCAAGCTCATCCTGCATGATTACACTGAGATTAGTCTCTTGGGAAGCACTTTGTAACTGCTGATCCCCAAACTCGGTATTCACAGGTGCACTAAAGGCGTTTGCTCACAACTTTGCATTTCGCCACGTTAAACTAGATTTGATTTTTTGATGACCACGTATATGCCCTGTCGATGTTGTTCCGCAGCGCTAGTGATCGTCTACTGTCTTGATATGATGTCAGATTTTAACACCGTCTGCAAACAGTAAGAAGTGCGAGCGTAGCACATTGGTAAGGTCGTTGATGAAGGCTAGGATCAAACATGGACGCAGTATTGATCATTGGGACACACCACACTGTACTTCAATTGCGTCGGAAATGGAACTGCAGACTCTCAACTTTAGCGTACATCGAATAAGGAAGTTGCTAATCCAACCGAGCACAAGGTCGCGCATTCCACATATTTGAAGCCAGTGGAGCAAAATGAGGTTACCTAGGCGGCCGGACGCTGTAAAGAAGTCCAGGCAGACGAGGTGAATCGATTCTCTTCAGCTTGCTCTAGGTGAGATCAGGTTTATTGTGCAGGAGCGATTCCAGCGTAGTCCGTGCTGCTGCGACGCTATGATGTTGCTGCTATCAAAGTATCCCATGAGTCTCTGCGATATTATCTGGTTCTTTGGGTAACACTGGGGTACAGTGATTGGACGGTAGTTCGAGGGCTTCGGGCGACTCCAACCCTTGTGAATAGAAGTGAATATTCCATGTTTCTACATGGTCGGAACCTGATATTCATCAAGACATGGTTGAAAGAACCAAGCTAGTGGATAAGTGATATTCCAGGCGGATATCTCTAAGGCTTCGCGTCGCTTGATGTCCACACTACGATAGCATTGCACATCCAACTACAATAGTCTTTTCGTCACATTTATTGCCGTGAAAGGTTTGTGAGTAAACCGTGATGCTGTGATAGACCTTCCAAAGCGAGTGAGATTCCGACTCACACTGTAAAGGGTTGATGAAGTGATATCGAAGAGCGTTTGCCAACTCTTGTGTAGTTTGCGCCGGACTATCTGTTGCACATAGAACTGGGATCCCGCGCTGCACTCGGAGGAGTGAGTTGACGTGCCTGTACAACACTTAAGGCTTAATACTGACCATCGTTGCTAATTCCTGTTGATATATATATATATATATATATATATATATATATATATATATATATATATATGCATCTGTGGAATACACCTGTTATGACATTATTTATTGATATTATTCTTAGAAATCTTTCTACAATTCTTAAATATATGTATAGATAATACCGTGCCCTTGTGTGGGCAATATGAAGTTGTGAAGACTAAAACAACAATAACGTTATACTTCTCGACGGTGCGAGGCACAGTCCAGATGAGTGGTCTAATCATTATATACAGCATGATCGCATGGAACAGATTATTTTTCTCAACTTTCCCAGAGCAGTACTTAGATTATTTTGGGTGAAGGCAAGGCTGCTTGATCGGATGAATCATTGCGGAAGCTTAAGAGGATGTCAAAAATAATACGCGTACTTAAATCCAAATGTCTAAAGAAGTATTATTGTTATCGGTTGAATCATCTCCTGAGGACCTCCTCCCATGCGGGTTATCCCCTCGATGGGTTTCACTTGCACTTGCATGCCTCATCTGGCCGTGTACAGCTGTGGCTTTTAAAGCCGGTAAGGCACCACTTCTGTAACCCATCTTTAGGGCTGTTTTTCTGTGTATATAGTGTGGACAGTCAAGCCATCTAGCCCATACCATCAATCGGTTTTTTGAGTGAAGCACATTTTTCTCGCCGGGGATCCAATAGCAAAGAGCTCTGCATGGGTACAAGTTTCAGCGTTGGGAGCTACATTCCGTCATCTCAGGAGATGTATCCCGTCATGGCCAACCATGAAGTAATGAAGCATAAAATATATGTGTCGACAGACTGATAGTAACAGTAGTAAAAATTAGTACGCAAATATCGTATTTTGCTATTGCGC